TTTAATCCCTGTCAGTTTTTGCTATACTTATATTGGAATTCTATTATTGGTTGTGTATGTGTTTAGGATTTTTATGTGTTTTTTATGAGTTGTCTCATTTGTTATTGTGAAATATTTATCTTTGTCTCTGGTAATATTTCTTGTTTGGAAATCTGCTTTGTCTAATATTAATATAGCCACACCAGTTTTCTTTGGATTAATTTTTGTATTATATTATCCTTTCGATTCTTTTACTTTTGGTTTGTTTTTCTCTGTACATTTAAGTTAAATTTCCTGGAGATAGTATGTTCATTTTGAAACTTGTTTTTAAGCGTTTTTAGCATAGGTCGATAGTAGCCTATACTATCTGGGTAGTTTATTCCTACTTCTATATTGTGAAATTCTGTGATTCCTACAGAATTCCCCATGAGGACTTACCACCATGGCCTGTCGGAATTCAAACATCTCCCAGCTCTATGTGAACCCTAGGAAATTTTTGCTACTTTCTAGGCCCCATTAGTTCTTTGCTCCACCTTCTATCCTAAAGACAAGACTCAAAAAGAGATCCCTATGCCAATTTCTATAGCTCCCCTCTCTTCTGAACTCTTCAATGTCATTCTCTATTGGAGCCTCTCTGAACTCACCATCTCTCTATTCAGTGGTATTGCTGTTAGGCAGAATTAGCAGAGTTCCTGCTCGTGGGTTGGAATTATCACCAAGCAGAAAGCTGGATGGAGTATTTATAACCTTTACCTAATCCTTTTCCATTTACTTAAGGCTTAAAACCTTGTGCTGTTTAATATCCCAAAACAATGTGTCTTTCATTTTATCTAGTTTCCTAGTTATATGCAGTAAGATTGTAAATTCAACCATTGTTATTCATTCATTCAAAAGCAAAAAGTCCAGTTTTAAAAAATTTTATTTTGGTGAATTTTCTGTTTATGCCTTTTGCCAATTTTTGTATTATTTTTTTGGTTTTATTCCTTTGATATTGAAGAGTTCTTTAGATATGAGCTGTATTAGGCCTTCATTTAGTATAAATTTTGCAAGTATTTTATCCTAATTTGCCTTTTGTCTTTTGGTTATGCTTATGATATTGCCACATAGAAGGTAGATTTTTAAATTTTTAATATCAAATTTATCAATTTTTTATTTACTATGGATTTCGAGTCATGGTAAGTAAACTCGTTCTACGGAGAGAGTTTACAAGAATTTTATGGTATGGTTTCATTTTTAAATTTAAATCTCCCTGTTCATTAGAGTTTGTTTTTTTATATCATGGGAGGGACAGACTCAGTGTTTTTTTCCTAAGCAGTTTTCCAGTTGTTCCAACACAATTTATTTTTTAAAAAACTATCTTTGTTTGAGTAACATTAAATGCTGCTTTTATTATAAACTAAATTTAGGTATGTACTTGGGTTTATTTCTGAACTTTCTGTTGAATCCCACTGGTTGGTTTATTTATGTGTCAGTACCAAGCATAAATACTGGTGCTTTAATTTTTGAGGCTTTATGATGTATTTTATTTTTCCTTTCTTTCTTTTTTATTTCAATAGATTTAGGGGGTACAAGTGTTTTCTGTTACATGGATGGATTGTATAATGCT